TGTTAACCAGTGCAGTATGTGGGACACGTTATCGCTTTGTGCGTCATCGTATGCCTGCGTGTCTGCTCGCCAGGATTGGGAGGTGCGGCCGTACAACTTTGTGTGCAGCGACCGCACAAACAGTGACCAATCATCAACCTCTGTTTAACTTAATCTTCCATCCTGACCATGAGTAGCTCCCTGCGTGTACACACTTGATCCGCAATATACGTCCTGAATAAACGTGCTCCGTGCTACACGTCTGTTTCCTTTCATAGCTGGGCTATAGCTTAGCTGGTTCTGGGAGTCTAGCTAGATGTAGGAGAATCTGCCATAGAAATTTCTGAGTCAGTCAGGCTTTACTAGTGTAGCAATCGGCTACGAGTATTTACTGAAGTACGATAATGACATTAAACGCTTTTGATGTTGTAACGTTTGATGTATTATTGGTGCTGAGAGGAGTTAGAGTTAATGACAGTAGTGAATAGGTTGGATTACATCGACTAATTCATACGATAGAACAATTTCTCATTCATGACCATTAATTTAGACGATATTTTTCCAGCTTTTTGACCACTCAGATATACCTATCTCCTTACTTTGCTTATTGCCACTTAATTGTGATCAAAATCAAATTATCATAATAAGCTGGTTGCTTTAATTATATACCCATACAGAATGTTTTCCTATCTTCCATCTCCTCAATTATAATAATTTTTGTTTTTTGGAAAAATTGGAATAGATATATAGCTTTCGAATTAATGAAATTTCCCTCCCACCCTAAGAGACTGCTTTTTTGAACAAAATCCCATTATATAAGGAGGAACAAACGTGGCCGATTCTTCTATATATTATTAATTAGGCCTACTTGATAAAGGTAGACAGAAAAAAAGTTCATAACAAAGCCAACATTACAATGTTAGTCATCAAGAGAAAGCTTCAAACAAATTCTTTGCTCCTAGCGTCAACAGAACGCTGGTACTAACTGGCGCAATTATACTTGAACGTCAACAATCAATAAGGTAAATTCGTAATTATAATTAATATGGTTGTTGAGCAATGTGAGCTTTTTCGTATGCCGCAATAGCACAATACACAGTGACAATTTTGTTTACCTTTCAACTGTAAAGCCAAATAAATAAGAGCTGAGCGTTCAGGGCTGATAAAGGGATATTTTGGACGGAATTTCGAGCAGGCCGCCAGAGCGTCAAGGAGAGTGTTGGCAACAGTTTGTTCAAGATAACCAGGGAGAGGTAAGTCATGCAATTCCACCGGCTCCTTCTTTGGTGGCAATTTGTTTGGCAGTTTCAACCCGGCGTACAAATGTGGACGACTGAAAATTGGTAAAGTTTATCAAGTATGAAGGATAATTTGAGAAAAGCAACTTTTCTTTGAAATAGGTTCATAGTGTCAAACTTAATTTGCAAATTCAACATACTCCATTGTCAAAATAAACTTTGTGAACAATTTATTGGCATTCTTACAATATATGCATTGACTAATCGAATCCATTTTTATATATAAAGACAATATACACATAATTCACCATAATGCTGCCGAAATGAACAATAAATAAAATAGTGAATTCTTGATATTAATTGCATTACTGTCCTAGAATGGCTGTCATTGCCATTAATGTCTTCAGTGGATCTTCTGCTTAATCAAATATAGCGAGAACGTGTAGTTCATTGAATTTTTGAACCAATAGCGTTAAATATACTTGTGAATACAATTTGAGGTGGGAGGTGGCACGAGAGTTCTATAACTCTTTCTATTCATGCTGATCAAATACTCAATTTTTCAATGGAGTAGGGTAATTATTACTCGAATTAGTTATGAACAGGTATTTCTAAGTTGATGGAAAAGTAAAACATTTAGTCGACTGCTCAAAGAGATATAATTTTAATACAATTTGGGACAGATATGAAATCGATGCAAATATTAATACATAGACATCTCTCCGAAATCATGAGGTAAGTTTAAAAAGATCAACATTAAATTGGCATGATCATTTACTTAAGATGTATTAAATATTACTTGTAAGAATGAGTTAATAAGTTGAACCAAGAGATAATTTTGGTATAATTTATGGAATAATCCTTAAATTGACTTAAAATTGTCACACAATGCAGTAAAAAGAGACTAAACCAGCCAATCATATGTCACTGTGCCTTACCATTTATTTTTTACTAACCAAGTCGAGTTTGCATATGTTTTGAAGTTTAAACTCATCGTTTCCATTTCCTGCGTCTTTTTCTCACAATATTTCAATTCCTTTCCAAGTCTATGTCTGTTAAGTACACCAGTTGGCCAACTTATTTCTTGTTCTTTTGACTGAGCAGGCATTTAGCCTTTGGTTGGTTATACGCTTTGAACGGGATAGATCTAAGCTCAACGCGTTCACAAATTTAAGGTATCTTTGAAATTGAAACCATTGAACGCATTTTCCTCCATATATACATGATTAAGAGCATTCATGAATGCATTTACTAGACACGCTGATCCACAAGACATACTGTTTCTTTCCGATTCGTTCTAATCAAGGTCATTGATAAGCTAGAAGGACTTTTCACCTCCTAGCTGCAATGAAATTACCATACCATGACAAAAATGAATGGTCATAGAAAACTTACTGCATAAATTTCGTTCTGCATTCCTCCGAACAGAAAGCGTATATCTCATCTCGATATAACGCAAGAATATTTTCATTGCCAACTTTCAAACCGTCATAATTCTGGGATGATTCCTCGTAACACACTGGACAAAATCCACCAAAAGCGAGATGTGTTGAGTCTGCGAGATACAAATCCTTCGGAAATTTCTGGGGAAGTTTCATTTCGTCCGGTGGAGTTCTTGGTGCGTTTGGTGGAATATAACGCTCCGGATCATTCATAAACTTTTCCAATTCATTTGGTCCAGCCATTCTATATGTTTTGCCCTTATATTCTACTGCAAATCTTAGTTCTGTTGGAATATGAGGATATAATTGCGAATTCGTTTTATCTGATTCGTAATTCGTTGTGTTTGATTGGAGAGCACTTGTGTAATTGACATTTGGAAGTAAGGCTTTAGGCCCTGGAAGTCTATTTACTAAAGGCGCTATTTGTTCTTCTTTGCAATCAAACAATTCATCGTTTTCTCCTAATTTAACTGGGCAGAACTGACCAAATTCACCTAATTTATCTTCAAATTCTTTCATTCCCATTCCGATCTCGGAAATGTTTATCGGTTTATCTGAAATCAGTAAATCCTTCAACTCATCATACAGAAACCTAAAATTAAAAAAGTAAACCATGGTGTCACTCACTTTGTTTTTTATTTGCCTCATTTTCCATGAAATGAGCCATACGATGAGTCATGACAAGAAGAGCTTTACGAAATGAAGTAGGCACATTTCCTTCTGAGTAATGATCAACAAGTAGCCCATTAAAGTTTTTAAGCAATTCACGCACTTCCTTCTCTGATTGAGCTCCAACAGGTCTCACAAAATTGTTGCCTAGCCTTCTAAGGATAGAGAGATTCTTTGAAGATCTTCTACTGCTTCTGTCAGAGCTTGTGTTGTCTTCACTGTCGTAACTTGAACTGATTTCGTCACTAAATCGATATTTATTTCTATCTATTTCTACGCGTTCACTTTCTGCTTCTTCTTCGAAGCTCGATGTATGTTCATCAGATGTGGTACTTTCGCTGTACGAAGAGTCACCGCTGTTCCTGTCACCTCTTTTTTTGCTATGACGCTTCGCTTTTCCACTGAAATCATCAGAAGAGGAATCGCTTTCTCCTTGATGCCCACGTTTTCGACCTCTGTATCTACTGGGTTCGCCATCTGAGTCAAGAGTTGATTCACTGCTAGAAGAGTCCTCACGTCCTCTTCGTTTCTTTCTTCTACCTAACTCACTGCTACTACTTCGTCGAAGGCGTCTATTACGTTTTGGTCCGCCATCTTGACCTGATTCACTGGAACTACTACTTTCAGAAACGTCCTTATTCCTTTTACGCCGGCCGCTTCTTTTTCCCTTTTTTTGAAAAGTGGTGTCAGAAGATGCACTGCTGGATAGACGTTTGCCCCTATGTCGTCTCCTTCTTCGTCCATTTTCATCTGAATCGTCTTGAGAGGATAAACGTCTGTCTCTATGTCGTCCTTTTCCTACTCCATTTTCATCTGAATCATCATGAGAGGATAAACGTCTGCCTCTGTGCCGTCTTTTCCTTCCTCCGATTTCGTCTGAATCATCTTGAGAGGATAAACGTCTGCCTTTGTGTCGTCTTTTTCTTCCTCCATTGGCGTCTGAGTCGTCTTGGGAGGATAAACGTCTGTCTCTATGTCGTCTTTTTCTTCCACCATTTTCATCTGAATCATCTTGAGAGGATGAACTTCTGTCTCTATGTCGTCCTTTTCTTCCTCCATTTTCGTCTGAATCGTCTTGAGAGGATAAACGTCTTCCTCTGTGTCGTCTTTTTCTTCCTCCATTGGCGTCTGAGTCGTCTTGAGAGGACAGACTGCCGTTTCGACGTCTTAGTTCACGTCTTTTAGAACCAGCAATACCTTTCTTCGTCTCATCATATCCAGGCCTTCTTGAACCTTTTTGACCTAACTTGTCTGTTCTGTTAAGGTCAGAATATTCTTTGTCATCTTTATATTTCCCGCGCTTTTTCCCACCACCGTAGCCTCTATCTTGAGAATTCTCATAAGAGGAATCACGTTTTCCATCCGGCCCATGCTTATGTCTTCTATTTCTAGCGTCGTCAGCAATAGAGTCTTCAGATTCACGATGCTTTCGTCCATAGCGACTTTTGGAACCATCTTTGTCAAAGCCAGTTCTTGATTGCTTATCAGCAGAACCAAGTCGTTTGAAGCCACGATGCTTAGAATCTTTGGCATCATCTCTGCCTTCAGATTTTCCTTTCTGTCTACCACTACCTGATTTACGACCTCGTATTTTATTTCCAAATTCATCATAATCTGATTTATCGGAACCAATACTCCCACCCTTTTTATCTTTTTTAGATTTCCCTGCCTTACCAGATCGCCCAGATTTTCCCGAATCACTTTCATATTCTTTATAATCTCGAAATCTTCGATTAGCATCAGCTGATGTAGAAGGTCCTCCTCGCCCTACTATTCCAGCGCTAAAATAGGAACAGATAATAGGATTATATAAAATATTAAATTGATTTTATAGAAATTCTTTTTCATGTAAAATTTGTGCTGTAATATTCCTCGATCCCAAATTGACCTTTTGTCGTAGTAACGCTAACTATATCTGTGACTGCTTCTGTGTTGATTGTCAGCATGTTAGGTAACCAAATTTTAGGAAATAATTAGCCAGAACCAGACTGTGGAACGTAAGGCTATAGCTAGGGGTTAGCAGTAGTAGACAACTTTCGAAAAATATAATTAGAACATAAAAAAGAAATCAAACAGGTGGTAGGTAGAGGGCAGAGAGAGTGGGGAATACACAAGAAGATCAACATCAACTACGACTGCTTGGAACACCCGCATGCTAAGTCAGTATGGGAAATCAGCGTTAAGCCACCTTGAATAAGCTTGGCCACTGATTGGTTAGGTCTCTGCATACACCGCACTTGCCTGAATGTTTCCTCACTTACCCTACATAATTATTCAGCTTCAAGAAGTCAGAATTACATGTTGGATTTTAAAAAAATCGCTTTCATACCAGTTAGTTAGATGCTAATATTGAAATTTAAATCAAACGGTTAATTATTTCTCTAACGCATTTGCCAATATTTATCTTTACGTCTTAAAGTAGATCCCACGTAATTCTCTGTCAGCAACCATGAAATTTTCAAGGTTTGTTTTAAGATCGGATGAATCGTATTATATCATTTCGAAAACTCATTAGTATCTAAAAAATCAACAAACTTTTGAGCCCATGTTGATCAGTCCTATTGGCATATAGGACTTTAGTACTCTTCCTTAAATTGAGCACTGCTGTAGTCCAAATAACTTGACTATCATCCGTACTATACATTATATAACTCAAAAAGGGGTGTGCGATAGACTTACCTTCACGTGGTGCACTCTGAGTAACGTATACTCATACGGCAAAAAGTCTATTAACTGGCAGTTGACTTCTCACTTCAAACTACCATCACCTCACTATATGTCATATTCGACTACTTCCATAGTACTCACCTCACCTTTTTTCTACCTTTGTGTCTGTCTCTGTTACATCTTTGAAACACTCTACTGTTCCCCCTCTCCTCTCGCCTTTTTCAATTTGATGTACCTTCCTCTCTGTGAAAACTGAAGTCAACTAAAGGGCTAATGATAACCATCAAGACGCCTGTCATTTGATATAATAATAATAATAATATTACTCAAAAAACACTCAACCAAGATCTTACTTGAAACACCGTTCTATTGCAAGAAAAATTAAACTTTTGTCAACCATAGGGTAGGACTCAATATTTTCTGAACTGTCATGAATAATTTTATCCACGATAAAAGAAGTGAACCGTATTGGTTTGAGCTAAAATAAACGAATTTTAACGAAAATAATGCACTCGAAAAGCATATAATGACGCAAGTCCCCAAGCTAAAAGAGAATATGAGTCTGCCAACTCTGCATCTTTATCGTCTCAACAAACTTGCAGTTTGAGCAGGTAGCTTACCCGTCAGCCTGACGATTGTGTTTTTTCAGCCAGATTTTAAGGAAAGGACAATCGGATGGTTCCTCATTGTTAATATTTTCCAACCAGTTCATATCACCCGCTCTGTTGGAATGCCAAAAAAGTGATTTGCAATAAAAGATCACATAAAAATAAGGAATCTCAAGTTCAGACAAAAAACCCACGGGTGATGGCATTGATCGTTATGCAAATCCAGGACAAGCATCGGTCTGAAGGATGTAGCCATTAACAATTTCGACTGTTCTTTTGTCAAGGGAAAATTATCTAAAATGTACCTAAACGTGTTTAAAAGCGTAGTCATTATGCATTCATGTTTTATGCACACTCCAATTAAATAAGCATATCTATCTTACCCCCTGGCTTGAACCTGAGGAGAAAGAAGAGCAACGCTGAGAGCCTCAATTATGAGCTCATCAGGCAAATTTGAATCGCTCTTAATACATTTGTAGATTTTTTTGGCTAGTTGAGTGACACTATGATTATTAGATCGGAGGAGCCATTCAATAGCCTTGGCGGGAGTGATATAGGGGATTCTCAAGTTCTTCGCAAGTTGTTGGCTGACTAAAATGGATAAAAATGACATAAAATCAATTTAATGTGGTCCATCACATTTTCGGGCACATCGGATGATGTAAATTATAAACGGTTTATTTATACTTAGAGGTTGTGGATTGTAATATCACGGTTCATTGTGATAAACATTTGACGTCGTATGATTTATTGAATTGCTTATTTCATTGAAAAAAATGTGTCTGAAAAGTTATAAATACAAAGCTTTTCCACCTGCAAAATGTTTGCCTAATTTTTACTTTGAGTGTATTCATATATCCATGGAAAAATTCAATGCCATGTTTACTACTAAGAATTTCACTAAGTTTCAATAAATAAACTCAAGTTGATGTTTTGACTATTCTAAACCTCTTATTCCACATACTGTTAAATGTAATTACTTTTTAGCTAATTTTTCGCAACTTATATAAACTTAATAAAACATTAATCGTTAAATATATGGTAAAAGACATAAATATTTTCCGCTCAATTGCTCGGATCAAACGGAATAAGGCTGTTTTCTTATTCACCGCTTTCTGAGCTTTAAACTTAGACGCACATATATAGACCATATCAATTGGTAAAATGCATTGTGACGTGAAAACGAGATGTTGTTTTACAAAGAAAAATAACCATTTGAATATCTGTCTGTTTATTTGTCACATTTTTCACTCTTAAAGCAGTCAGTCATAATTTACATCATTAGATAGGGTTGAACAAGAGAACACAAATTTGCAAATATTTAATCTACTATGAGAACGAAATGGGTACGCGCTGTGTACGTCTATGAAGATTTATTTAAATGTACTATTTAATACTTTGTCATGGCCGTGAATATAATGCGTAACCGGAAAGTTATTCCTATCAGAAACCCCTTTCCTAAACTACACCTACCCAATAGCATCATTTGCGTTATGACCTCATCCTGTTTCTAGCTCAACTTTGTTCTTTCACTCAGTCTTTACTCTGACAAAAAGCAAACTCCTGATTTGATCCAGATCAAACCAAATGATATGTTATTAGCTAGATCTAATTCTGTAAATACCACTACTTCAGTGAAACAAATATTTGCAGTCATTTCAGAAGGAATGTTTTCATTAAAAGATTTTGAGGCCAAAATTTTTCAACACTTCAGTAGGTGACATCGCAACATTGATGTAGTCAATTCCTTACTTGAAGTGGAAATTTATGCAAATTTAGAAATTTGCTGAAGTCCTATTCATGAAAATTGAATTTGGCAATATTTTTCTTTAAAATGAATGTTAAAAGACAAATAAAAATTTATTGTAAATCAGCTGTGATAAAATTATATTTTAAAGTTCCAAGCATCTTTCCTTAAAAATACCACGCCATTCAAGCCGTATCACGAAGTGTCTATAATTCTTTGAAATCTATCTCCGAATTAATTTTTTATGCATGCGTCTGGTTTGATTCAAGACCTCTATTGAGATTAAAAAAAATACCAACTGGAAACAGTAAAATGGTAAGATGTGGCATCTTTAGTGAGGTACAAAGAAGCTAACATAAAAAACAATAATTTGGCTCAATCGAAATAATTTTGACTACTTTTACTCACACTGCTCTCTTTCAGTGTCAGGATCTCCAATAATCGCTACTTGTATTGGCTGGTGGTTCAGAGTTTTTGTCATGTCACCGGCAGCCTTTATAAACGCTATTGGATTGGATGAAAACTGCTTTCTCTCCTCATCGGAATTGAACCAATATACACATTCTCGATACACAGCAGCGCACACTTTAACAGGATCAGCTGCTGTCTTCGACTTCTTGCCACTATTATTATTTGGAACAATATCATCGCCCATTTGGTATTCCAAGAGCTTCGGATTTATATAAGAGTATCGAAGAGGTGGCAGAGGGTTTAGTGGTGGTAGACGCGCGGAGGTAACACGGCTCCAAGAGACGGGACAATATCGGCCAAAGGGTGAGAAGTGCTTGAAACCACTTGCAATCAGATTTTCAGCCTCCTCCAATGTGACTGAATAAACTCGCTCAAAAATCGCCGATCGGTTCAAAATATATTTTTTTATTTTCTGAAAGTCAGTTAAAGCTGCTAACAAAATATTTATTGTTAAGCCTAAAGTAAAATTATTTGCATTTAAACTATCCATCCTTTCAAGCAATTAAATATGAAAATCAAAGACCAACATTTTAAAAATCCAGCTATCAACTAGGGTTTAATTTGAAGTACTAAATCATTGCAAAATAATTTGTGCAATGCTATTTTTTAATTAGAAAAAAAGTTCTCGTTTTCAACTAGGAAAAAAATTCGCGGATCACTATTTTTGCCAGCACTTTAGCACTTATTTGCATTCCACTACACAGGCCCATGATTTCAGCCAAACGGCGGTCTGAACATCAACTTCAAATTGGATAAACCATGAAATTCAAAATTTCTCAGCGAAATTTTTAGTTAGTTCATGATATTATGTCTTAAAAAACCAATAAGTAGACTTTTATTGCGTATAGTGACTCACTCTGTTGACAATTTATTCTCCAAACCAAAGGGAAGACTAATCGAGAACTAAACTTATGCACCTTATGACTGTTCACCATACATCACTTTATTGAGCGAGTTATCGTCTTCGTAGGTTCCAAACATGCCCCATCGCATTAACTATGATATCCTAGTCCTTTGTGCATTCTAAATGTACCATAGGTCATCGATATTTTTTTTCAATTCTCCCCTAGAATACATAGGCCACCCCCAAAATACACATTAGAATATTATAAGATCACAAATTCTTCTTTAGTTCCCTGTCTGGTGCTCCTCCGCATAGAAAAATACTTGCATTGAGTTCTTTATATAGGCTTTTGGGGCAACCACTATTTGACTTAAGCAGTGGACTAAGTTCCAAGACATATCCATTTAACGCAATCTTATTAGTATCGTAAAGATGAATAGTAAATATTTAAACATCGTTACGTCAGCAAAGATAAGTACAGATTTAAAATAGAGATCGATAATTTTCTGAATAACCGTTCTTATAGCAAATCGTTGCCGTTAACTCTCCTAAATACTATTTAATTTATCCTATTTCAGAGTGCTTTATTGTAAAATGAACGAGTAAGTGTTGCGTTTGCATACCCTAATCAGCCGGTACCGAACTCTAGTTAACTGGTCATCGGCAAGTATGTTGAAATGCGGGATTTTGGCTTCAATGAGAGCGTCTATGACTTCCTGAATACCCTCGTTTTCCTTCTCCACCCTTTCAGTAATCTCCTCTTCTAATCGTAGTTTGGCCTCTGAATCTGTTTCCTCCTCATCTTCTTCAATTTCTTCTTCCTCCTAAAAGTGGGGATTTAAAACAAAGAACGTTATACTTTCTGCCGTAGTTTGCCTTAAAGTAAATTAGGGAAGCGTATTCTAGGACGGTCGTCCTATTACTCAATATTTTTTTTATTTGTACATGGCAATAGTGCAAAAATGCCTTATTAATCGGAATAAGGCTTAGTGCGGAACACATGTAATGATTTATTGGGCCATAACAAATAGAAAAGGTGGCAATTGAATAAAGCACTAACCGCAAGTTCCTCCTCCAATGCTTCAGATATGTTCGTTTGGCTGTCTGATTCCACTTCCGTGCTTATTTCATTGTCATCATTCTCCAAACCATCTCTCGATTGGCTTGCCTACAATTTAGAAAAAGCAAATTACGGTCTATCAAGTCGTCGAATGGATTTGAAGGCGATTTAAAAGTTAGATAATTTATATTGTTTAAAATAACTCAGGGTCATGTCAATAGCTAAATTTAAGTTAGTAATTTCGATATATTTTGAATTTTATTAGCAGCATTTGCTTAGTCTTTAACTTCGGAATAATTCAAGCTCAATCTAAGGCGAACTTTGAACCACATTTGATATAAATCCGGTATTCTAGAAGGAATGAGTAAAGGAGCTCTAAATATATTGAGTTACAGCAAAAAGGCAGCGAAATGCCCGATTAATTTTCATAAAATAGTGAGAAAAGCAGTGTTTCGATCAACAATGCACCCATGCATATTTGTATGTTCATAAAAGTACAAATTTTAGCCAAAGGACATAAAACTATTTTTAAGATTAATAATATATTTTACTTCACAAAACAAAAAAAAACATGTGTCGTTTATGTGGTTATTTTGTCATAGGTAGAGGTTGTCATTCTTATTCATTGTGAGCTCATTTAGTGCCTACTCAAGCTTTAGCTGTGCCTTTAGCGTGATTTAAGTGATTTGAAAGAAAGTCCATTCAATTGACTGGCCAGTTTTCAGAGCAGTTAAATTGATAGTCATGCTCTTGACACTGAAAGTACAGGATTTAGTTAGAAGAGAGTGACAAACCTGCAAGGTAGACATTTGAAAATTAAAGAATTGGCGTACGCCCTTGATCTAATTAGCGTTATACTTGAGGTCCAGACTCATTTGAAATCATAATTGCAATGCCTACTTCCTCTTTCAATCAACCCTTTTACGCTAGCTAAACACTCTCAAACTTTCAGGTATTCCAAACCTTCAAGAACAAGCACATCTAAAATGCATTTTTTGTAAATTTAGTCAAAAACAATATAATATTTTGGTCTATTCACTCAAGTTGTAATTAATTCGTTGAAATATTATTTCCCAAAGGATTATAAGGAAGTCAAAACCACCTCCTCCCGCTTCGACGATAGGATGTTTCCATTGATCCAAACTTTTAACCATTAAGTCGCCATGACGATGTGTTTGTTGCTTACTAGCAAATCAACATTTTAAAGCGTCAAACTTTATTCCTAAACAAAGTTATCGGTCAAGAAAGCTTACTTAAAGGAAAATGCCGTGTCCATTTCAAACTGAATCAGCAAGTATTCGCCATCATCCCTCTTTTGAATTGTAAAGTTAGTTACAATTCGATTTTTAAACTAGAGAATCTGCCTTATGGTTTGAGCAACCCAGGGTCTACAGTTTGTTGTTCATTAAATTACCAGTCCCGGCAACTGTGCAAAAGCGGGAATAATGTGACATGGCATTGTTGGTACTGGAAGCATTTGAATTGTCATTGCTTTAAAACATCATCTAATTAGCTTAGTTGGTAGTAAGACTTTTGTTCAACAATAAGTAGTAGAACCCTCCGTTGTGTTGAAAATGAAACATAGTGGTAGATATTTTATTCAGCCAAACCAAATGAAGAAGTTTTAAAATGTCAATCAAAAGTATTTAATTTGACTAACTTTCATGATTTAAGGGTAATGGTTTCGAATTTGCCTTCAGCACTCAATAGTTTAATAAGTTGGCCGTGATAAAATAATGCAATTTTCATGTCATTTTAGAGCAGTGAACTATGAGAAACATAAGGTAGATAAAGAAATTTAATATCTATAAGAAATGCATACTGTTTGAAAAAGCCTCCTCTCCTTTTGTTTTTCAGCAAGAATTTTTCTCCTTTCCTCCCTAATTCGCCTTCTCTTCTCCGCCTCCCATTCAGCAGCAATTCTCTTGTTTTTCAAAATTTTCTCCATTTTTACTTTCCATTTCATGAAACGGATTGGCAGTAACCGAGGCACTACGTCTGCTGCTTCTGCACTCAGATCAATTACAAAATCAACAAGTAGGTTATTCTCCAGCATAAAATTAACATCTTCCGCCGTTTGAGGGAAACCCTCTAGAACGAAACCCTTGGAACAGTAGGGCTCCTGCTTCCATAGGGGTAAAAGAAGATTATTCAATGAATCTTTGGGGAGTGGTTCATCATTCTCAAGATAATTTCGAATGGCAATCTCATGAGGGGAAAGGTCTTCCAAATTCGATCCACTTTCACTAAGTGCAATTTCGTCATTTTTCGGAGCAGATTTTAATTCCGATGCGGCATCAGGATTCTCCAACTTTTCCAAGGCTTTCTTGACTTCCTCTTCGAGACTAAAAGTTAATAGGTTTTGATGGTGTTTTAAAAGGGAAGCACTGCAAATAACATTCTATTAATCAGTTTGTCCAGTGCTAACCACTTCTAAGAGGTTTTGGTCATAGTTTTTAACTACCAACCAAATCCCTTACTAGATCTAAGCACAGCTGGGAGTATACCTGCTGTGAGTATTCAAGTTTCTAATGGGAAAAAATAGAAGGTAAGGCGATAGTTTGAAAGGTATTATGCGAACGTTAATGCTAATGTGTTAATACAGGTATGTTAAAGATAAACAACGACTTTTTAAAAATAATGAACTAAAACTTAGTTCTCAATATAAAATGTGATTGGCTTATTATAATGAATAAAATTACTGTGTTAAACTTAATATAAATTTAATTAAATCATTGATCATACTTAAAGTTTCGAAGGATTTAATTATTATATCATTGATATAAAAGCAAAATTAGATAGCAATCAATTTACTAAAATACGTTCCCTTGATTATCATTAATATTTATAGAGCAATTGAAATGCTTACTTCGGCATGACTTTGACAGGAATTTCCACATCATCCGCATATTCTGGACCAATTCTTGATTTTAATTTCGACATCATCATCACGTCCTGAAGCAACTGATGGAAGCTCACGTGAACGAGATCAAATTGGTTAGCCATTTGACGCCCATGAAGCGTTTTACCAGATCCTGTTGGTCCAATGATGGCTATTCTAAGTGGTGGAATCTTAAAAAGCAACGAATAAGTTATGGTAGAAATTCATATAACTACTCAAAAATCTTGGCTATGGTCGTTGTTAGTAACTGACTAAACAAACTTTCGCATTTTATGTTGATTTTTACGTGTATAAAGTAAAAAATCGGTAACCCCGTAAGATCAAAATAAAGGCAAACACTACTCTTCATGTTTTAAGTCTTTAAATTCTAGCTCAGTTCTATGTGCGCGATTTAAAATTAAAAACTGTCCTAGCCCATATTATCACTATATCTCAAACATACTTCCCTATTTGTAGGGTTAATGAGTAATTTGAAGGTTCATGATATAATAATAATATAATTTGTCATAATTTAGTTGTTCAATTTAATAGATATTGCGTTGTCTTAAATACGTAAAAATTTTACATTGATAAGCGGCAGATATTCGATTTGTGAAAGCTATCACATTGTGACATCAAAAGTCTCCTCTAGTCATCTTAAAAAGGCTGATAACATCTAAGGTAATTTAAAAATTGTATAACTAACCTTAAATCAAATGGACCAGCTTTCAAAAGTGCTAATAAGTCATTTTAGTATATATATGCCAAAGTGGTTATTTTTAAAGAACAAAAGCCCAAAAAAACAATATATAATCCAGATCCAAACTCAGCACCAATTTCCATTATGAAATGAGTTTAATAATATCCTTGGCGATGTCAATTTACACTTTCACTAAACGTATCATAAAAGTATCAGCTAAATATTGATCGGTTGCATAAAATTTTACATACGTTAAAGGTATTGATAAAATTACTCTTCGGTTGTTTATTCATTCCAATAATGGCTTTAAGTATTTCATTAACGTGTAACCTTACATTCATTAAAGGTGGTCCACTGTCCTCGTGAACATATTTCTCCGGATTGTCAATAAATTTAGACATACTTTCTTCAGTGTCAAAGTAGTAAACCCGATCTTTATAAGTAGCAACAATGTCCGGATCACCTGGTTTGAGAACTCGATGCTCATGTAACGCCACTGGACAATAATAGCTTGTCACTCCAAGATTTCGATTTAAAGATCTACTTGGATCCTCCTCTTCTTCTTCCTCCTCCCCCTCGGAATTTTCGCTCTCCTAAAAGGTCAAAGGAACGATTTTCTTTATTTACCGTAAATAATATTGCAGATTATCCATACGAAACCTAATACCAGGTTTGATTTGTTCAGGAATAAATGTTGTCAAATTACTCTGACTGTAATCGACTTTTAGTAGTTTCCGTTTGTGGGTGACCATTAATTCATTTAACTAAAGCATTTTCGTATACACAGACAAATTAAAATTGGCTGCTAAAACAAATTTAGCGTGAAAATATGTCACCTTTTTAGTTTTTCACAAAATCAAAACTTAAAACATATATTTTTTTATTTTATCGCAGCCGAACAAAGTAATCTCATGTGCGCTCAAGCAGGCTTGAAGGTACGAAAGTGAGATTACTTTGTTCAGTTGTGTGCTCTACAAGGTAATATTTACGTTTATTCTATGCACCTATTTTGAAGAATGTGGTAACTAAGTAGTACCCAATTTAGTTGTACTTAAATTAACCAAAAATAAATGACTGAAAATTCAAAGCTATATTTGCTATGTAAAATACACGCCCACGCAAAATTCGTGAGCAATTTCAATCAAAAGACAAAACGCAAAATAATAATTGCTGTTTGTACTTATGGCCTTATTATAATGCCCAAAAGTCAGAAGCCTGAAACAACTCCCTGCTTCAACCACAGAGATCAGACAAAGCAAACAAGTTAATGGGGTTATTTCCACGAGGCGGGAGACGCTATCGGAAGATTTAAGTCATAATGCACATAGGATTAGAGGCTTCATCTAAATGTTGATGCTAATGGGATTCAAATGCGGTTCATTGGAAAGGTTTCCAGACACTAAGATTTTAATTATTGAGTTTAATCACCAAAACGCATTAAAAATGTCAATGTATCATTGTCATTTTAAACAGAAGTTAAATTTCAAATAAAGACCTGTGCTATTAGAGTCCAGCTTACATTTCTTCAATCATCCTACTGATTTGATTGTCTTTAAATCGTTCATAGAGTTTAATGAGAGATTTTTTACCAATAGTAATTTTTTTCGAAAAGTGGCTTGTGTAATGAAGGGACAAGTGACTTATTTTTCCTTAAAATCTTGTACTAATATATTTCAGCCAGTCTCAATCATAATTCTAAATGATAAACGATTTTATAACAATTAACCCACAAATTGACTATCTGTTCATATGAAATTTGAAGTAATTTTGAGCAATGATTTCATAAAGTAATCGATTAATCATATCTACAAATATCACTGCCATTCATTAAATTAAAATATTCCTCAGGGAGTCCAATCTCTATTTTATGACTTAAGTTATGCTACAAATTTCACGTACCTAATATTTATAATTCAGGGATTTTAAGAAAAAAAAGATATATGATAGGTATTGACACAAGTGTGCACGATCATAAAGAGTTTCGTTATTTTTTAATTAACTTATTAGTATCTTGAGTAATTCTTACCTCATCTTCACCACCTACTGAAGTCTCAACGACTTCTTCTTCCTCTTCTTCACCCTCTTCTTCAGTAAAATCTTCTTCCATTTCCTCTTCCATATCCTCTCTCAGAGCCCGATTTTCTTCCAAACCACCAGTCTCGGCAAATCCTTCTATTTCAGCATCGTATTCTTCATCTAACTGCTCCTGTGAGGACTTATTTACTTGGAAGGCAAACAATTCTAAAAGTAAATAGTTACTTTATTGTAATCTAAAGGTTATTTAAAAACTTTTTTGTCAGTTTAAGTGAAAACTCTGAGAGAGATGGAGGTGTAGCAATTCTAATGACAGCACTAAAAATCAGATAGTTCTAGAGCTAAATAATTAGGAAGCCTAATCTAACCCTCCGTAACCTGTTTTAACAACTATTAGATCATCACCCCTCCCCCCCCCCACCCT